ATTTTCCATAGCCAGTAATGCTCTCCAGCATACAAAAAGTGAAGGGATTAGGACCTTTTTCAACTTCATATGGTGTAAAAACCCCTTTAAGTATTGACATGAGGAAATGTGTTGAAGGTTTTATTCAAAATAAGCTTGAGACATTATTTCCCAAGCTTCTGATGTGCATTAGAGGTACAGCTAATGGTCTTTAAGATTCAAGAGCCATAATGTATATTTGAATCAAATTCACTTAAGGTCAAAAAGAAAAAAGCTCTTAACTTCCATAAAGTGATTCCTTCAGATGGATTCTGGAGATCAAAGCATGTTACAGAAAAAGCTTAATATTTGGATTAGTGCTGTTCTTTCTTTGCTGAGCTTTTAGCCCATTTGTGAAGTAGTGCTTTCTTAACAGAAATGAATAATTCATGGACAATGTTTTAACAACAACACACTGGGAGTACTATTAATTCCAAATTTTATTTTTTCTTCAAAATCCATTTTGGAGTGTTAATGCTCATGTTGCTGAATAAACTTAAATTAATTTTCGAGTGTTCAATCACTTACTAAATTAAACAGAGTACAGTGCAAAAGCAGGTTGTAACTCTTTTATGACTTTTAAGATGCTCAAGGAGCTACTCACCCTATATAATGCCTGAAGGTTTTTTTCATCCTGAGCTCTTACACTGCCTAGTTTGCAAAAGGATGTACTCAAGTGAAGGTGTGTGTGGCATTCTGCCCCTGATCCTGAAATGCTTGTGCAGATCCTAAAGTCTATTTAAAGAGCTGATGGCTGCCAGTGTGTGCAAGGAGCAAGCAGTTGCTTCATTTCTTAAATCAGAGGAAAGCTGGAAACATCCATGCCCTGCCAAAGCAGACCTTCCAGTGAGTGCCCTGGCTGTGGGTGCCAAACCTCATTAAGGCTCGTTCAACTTCATTGAACCACACAGTCTAGCCCAGGCTCATCTCTGTTTATGAGTCATTTCCTGGTCCTCAAAGATGATAACTCTATTACCCTGCTAGCTGGAGAGCTGTCCTGTACAGGCCAGAGATGTGCACAATTGCTGTGGTTTAACAAGGATTTTAAAGCTGGAGATACTGTTTTGTGTTCCTTCAGCAGCTAAGCAGCTGGGAAAACTAACTGTCTTAGAAACTGCATCATAAAGAAGCCAAGTTTTGCTCAGTCCTTCTCTGCCATTTGAATAGCTTTGCAGGGACCCAAGAGTCTTCTGAATCTCATGCCGAAGCAAGAGCAACAAGGAAACAACAGTACTTTGCATTCAAGTTACTCCACACACATGTTTTATTCTACTGCACTCTCAGCCTTGATCTGACTTTTGCTGCAGCAATCCTGGAGCTATCCTGATATCAAACAACTGTGGTGGAGGGAACTTGGCACCAGTCCTGCAGCTGTGGCCTTTGTGTAGCTCCAACAGCAGAAGCACCATGATTTCAGCTTCTTTACTGAGTTCCAGTTGGTTATAAATACTACTTGATGATGGCATTAACAAAGAAGATGTTAATTATCCACTTCTCTACAGGTGATGCTTCACAGTTGAATACAGGGAGGGTTTCCCACTGGAAGGTTCATGGATTGCGACACCTTCAAAGTCATCCTGAGTTTCTCATAAGGATTTATGTCAATAGGATGAAACTTCAAATTAGACCTGAAAAACCAAAGGATAACAATAAATGAGCTGTGAGAATTGGCTGTTGTAAACACTCATGTGAACTCCCTTTGCCAATAAGTAATTTCCCACTATTTGATACAGCTGAAATGTAGGACGGAGGTGCTCGGTGTTTGGAAATAATTCACGGCAAGTTGGGCACACCATCACTGGATCTGCTCACACCAATATTTTGCTTTTCTGGCTTTTCTTGGAGAGCCTGTGAAGGGCCTGCAGAAGTACCATAAAGAACTTCAAAGAGAAACATCATTTAACTATAACTCTGATCAAAATTTAGTGTTGCTGGATTTGTGGTTTTGTGTGTTTTTTCACTCAAGCGTCGTTGCTAACATTTTTATTCTGTCCATCTCTTCCAGTAGCAGTTTGCTGTAATATATTTTAATAGATGGTACCTTTCTCTTGCACAGGTTTTATTTTATGGAATAATGCATTTAAACATGAAGTGGTGCTGCTGTGCATGTGGCACTGACAGCTAATACAGTTCTGGTACACAGCAGCCAAAGGCAAATAGATTGATTTTTATAAATGATGATGAGTAAAGTAGATCTCTCTTTCCTGTGTGTGCTGGGCCTGTGGAGATGTGTAACTGATATTTGCCTGTTGCAGCTGTAGCTGTGGCAGCATCTGTTCAGGATGCTGGCTAGGGCTTTAGGCTGACATTGGGTTATATATTAAGGTTCCTCATATCAGTTGCTATACTGCTATGAAAAGATGTATAGTACTCCCTTAATGGATGATGCTTCCTTGGCCTGAATCAAAGTTACTGGAAAGGATGTTTGGTAGGGATAATCCCCAGCAAATTGAATTTCCTTTGTTAAGGTGAATAAATACATGAGGAGGCTGAATTTTTCTATGTATATGTTTTCCAATCCCATCTGGTTTCTCCCAAATTCCCTAACATGAGTGCTAAATTGTATAAACCCACCTAAACCTGTGCTTTGCCACTTATAAAGCTGACTTCATTGGATAAATTATGGGATTTACCTGAGTTACCCAGGGTTGAACATGTTGCCATGCCTTACTGAGTCCATGAGCCCAGAAGAGACCATAGCAGGCTGCAGATATGTTTATCCTAACTCCAGACTGACCTATGGGACAGAAATGAGAGGAACAAGGATGTGCACAACTGAAAAATTTAGTGGTTATATTTTTCCCTGATTTATCACCAGTTTGGGAAAACATTTTTGGTGTTGCCTTCTGAAGAAGAACTACTCAAACTTGGCAAGCTCCAGTCTGATGGTGCTGGGCTACCAAGACCTCTTCCTGATCTGTGAACACCCTAGTGCCTGCTGGAGGGACTAACAGTGGGAAGTAGGTGAAAAGTCTCATTATAAACAGTCCCATTGGCTTGTGACCAGGCCTAACCTGACCTCCAGACCTATATTTGAGTAACTTGATCCCTGCTCTAGTCTTGTGGTTGCTTGACAGGGCTGTGGTTTAGATACTCTGCTCATGCTCATCAAACTGGTAGCGATGTGTCAATAATTGTGACTGGGCTGAACTCTGGCAGGAATTTTATTCATCTTGGTTTCAGCCACAAAACATCACTTTGTGGACATAAAATGTAAGGAATGGCAAGAATTTTTGGGAGGTAAAGGAAAATCTTGGTTTTCTGATTTGAAAATATGATTCCATCTTCCTGAGATGCAATTCTTGCTGCTGACACAAAGCAGAATTCTAAGTGACCAGCATTAACAAGACTAACCTCTTTTTTCCCCCTTTCAAAACTAATTTGAGGATATGAAAAAATAGTTGTTTTCAATTTTCAGCACACTTTCTGTCTTAATTTTTGTCTCATTTAACACTGCAGAGCAGAAGAATCAGAGATACGTCCAATTCATTGGTAAATTAAAGAAGAATTCACTGGGGGAATTAAAGAAATAACTAGGATTGCTTTGACTCTTCCAGTGTTTGCATTGGAAGCAAATTAATTTCAGATGCAGTAAGAAACTGTTCTGCATAGGCAGCATTAGATAAGGTATTTTAAAAAGTAAAATGGTATTTTTCTGCTGCTTGAATGGTAACTGAGCACCTAGGTAATATTTGTGGAGCGAGAAAAATATCAGAGCTTTAAACAACTCACTGCAGTGATTGTGCAAAGAAAGGTTTCAATGAAATTTCTATCTTCAATGATTTATTCACAGTGTAAAAAGAAAGTGATAGACTAAATAAGTCAAGTCCCAGCTGACCATTGGGACCGTAGTGAGTTTCAGTATTTTGGTTAACCAACTGTAGGAAACCAAAATGGAAATCAGTACAGAAAGGTTGTTAATTCCTCTTAAAAGGAAAATAGTGTTTTCTATTCAATGATCTTCCCATTTACATTTTGCTAGAAACATGTTAAACAGAGTGTACAAACGGAAATTATTTTGTTAATTAAAGTAGCTTGATGAATGCTTCAGGCTTTCAAGTCCCTCTTAATGAAACTGGATCTTGTAACCTTAGGAGACCTCCTTTTCCATAGTTTCCATTGCTCACCAATACTCAACATTCAGCTTTAAGAAGAATGTAGCAAATTTGATCTATGGCTGGAGAGGAAGGAACAGCTAATTTTGGCCTGTTGGGGTTGTGGGGTTCATTGATAGCAGGCTGGGAGGTTTCTCTTCCCTTGCTCTGATCCCCTAGTGAACTGCAGGAGTTTCTTTCCTTTCCTCCTAGCTGGTAGGATTTTTTTCCACCTCCTAATGCATCTGATTCCGTGACGGCTGAATGCACAGTCATGTGGATAAGAGCTTTTATCATCAGTTCTGTTACAAACTCCCCAGGTCTAGGGGATTAGAATTGGAAAAGGAAGAAGTCTTAAAATTGGTTTAAATGGGTTTAAAAATGGAATTCAATGGGTCAGAGAGAGGGAATAGCATTGTAACAGTAAGAGAGCTTGCGAAGGTGTCCATCAATACCTTTTTCAGGTGTGTCTGCTTTTATTTGCTGAAATGTTTTTGCAAGCCCCGCTCTGTAGATGGTCACAGTGACAGTGACTAGAGATGTGCCTTACACCTGCACAGTATTGTTAATTAAAAAGCATGCACATAAATAGCTGGGAGAAGGATCTGGCTGGATATTGCAGCCTCCCCATTTAATAGGGTGTTTGCTCCCCCTGTACTTCCCCCTGCTCACAAGAGCAGCTAAAGGGCTGTGATCCAAATGGGAGAGCTCCACAACACCTTATCTCTTCCTTTTCACCGGGTTAGCAATTACCTCTCACCTCTGCCTTGTTGTTTGTGTCTGCCCTTAATGCCCAGACCATTTAGTTTTTAGCTCAAATCCACACCTATTGAAAGACAAGGCAGAAATTTTATCCTCAGCACAATCTTCTGCATCCCAGTGCATAAGGGCTTTTTCTTTTTCCCCTTTCCTTTTTAATTGGAGCCAGAATTCTAATTGAAACATTTTGAGTGAAAACATTCCTGGACATAAATGAATAGCAAAGGCGACCGAAATGGAATTGCTGTAACTTTAATGAATATATTCGGTTTTATTAGTTCAAAAGTAGTAACATAATTGCTTTTTCCATTCAGTGGCTGAAGAAGTTTTCACCAATAATAAATAGGATTTTAATGGAAATGGTAGAAGTGGTTATGGACGGTAATAGCCACTACAGTGTTTGCAGTTTTCAAATTAGGTGCACATAATTGCTCATAAAAAGAAAATTTCATTTGTTAAAAATCTCTGGAAACATATTGAATGTGTAATGGTAGAAATGCTGCTGCCACAGGAATTATTTTCTTGTCATATTTAATAATCAGGATTTAGTCAAGTATTTAAATGCATCGCATAAACAAATACTATATTTGGAAAACATACAAAACTGTGTTAAAAAAAAACCCCTTGAAAATATTGGTGGCTGCATTACTTAGGCTTAGCAATCTCATCCATATTATCCAAACAGTCTTCCCAATTAATTGCTTTTTTTAGCAGATTTTAGTGGTGGGAAATGAACTAGGAATACTAATAAATTGCAAAGTCTGTCTTTCTTTCTTCCTCTGTCTCTCCTTCACTGTGTCCTGTGTTCTCCCCTCGCCTAGGCCAGATGGTGCGTGGGCGCTCGGTGGTCCTGCGGGCGGCGGGCGAGGGCAGACCCTGCCCGGAGCAGCTCACCCAGCACAGGAGCTGCCCAGTGAAGCCCTGCTACAGCTGGCTGCTGGGCCCGTGGTCTCCCTGCAGAGTCCAGGTAGGGCTTTCTCCAGCTCTCCCCAAGGTCTCCAGGGCTTCCCTACGGTTGGGGTCAATGACAAAACTCATCATTCCGTTGTGGGATTGGTTGAGGACACTGTTCAAGGCTGGAGGTGTCTCTGTGGCCGGTGAAGGTGCTGATAAGATCCAAAGGGAAGGAGGGGAAGTTCAGGAGTGGTAGAGTTCTCCTCCTCTCTTCCAGCTGTCAGCATCCTTTCATAGATAGCAGTACAGGTTCAAGTACCCTGAGCTTATAGAGCTATTAAGGGGGATTTATGGAGTGAGTGTGTCTGAGTGGGCATAGTTGTGGTGGCCTGTAATGTAATTATATAAAGTAACTCTAACAAGAAAATAGATGCGCTAGATATCAAGAGAGCTTAGCCTTTTTTTAATCTTATTTCCTTTTTCTTTTTAAAGTACAGTATAGCAGGTCTTCCCTCACCAGGTCTCAAGCACAATAGTGCAAGTTATTGTATGAAGGGCTGGTTTCTCCTTTCTCCTTACCCTGGGTATCTTTTTAATGATCTAAAAATGTCTGGATTCAGTTCCAATGTGCTGTCCCTACGCTCAGCACCTCTGCCCAGCACCGGAGCCATCATTCTTTCACTGTCACTGACATGCATCAGCCTTGAATTGACTTTTTCTTCCCCTCTGTGCTTTTTCTTCTCTCCTTATCCGTTAGATCACATTTCCAATATTAAAACATATTAGTTGGTAACCCATTTAAGGCAGAGGTGAATCTTCACAGCGAGGTTTATCAGGCTGCTTAAATCTGGCTTTGCTGAGATGGAGGTGAGAGAAGTGTGGTTAGGTGGAAAAGTGCCCTGGCTGGTCCCAGGGGAGAGGACCTGTGCCAGATCCGTGGCTGCTTCTGCACATTATACCATGTAAGAGATTGAAGCCAATAATGCACATAAAGGCACACATCCCTTGTGTTTTCTGCTCTGCCCTCTACCTCGCTGCCAATGCCTTGAATAGCTACGTGGTTTCTGATGCAGTAGATGGATGTGTAATGAATATGTGAGTGGCACAATAGATACCCAGAATTTTTCCAGGTTTTCACAAATGGAATCTGGAGCATGACAGTGCTTGGACAGTCCAAGATCAGAGAAACAGAAATATATTTTCTATAATGAACAACTCATTGCAACTAATGATGTGAATATGGTCCTTGTATGTGCTGCACTCAGTAATTATTTATGTGTAACATAAATAGAACAAAATGATAGCAGCAGCTGATATTTTGCCCAGCTAACATAGGCAAATTCTGTTAAACATCAGGAAAGAGATCTTCAACCATAGGAACTAACATAGCTGATAAAAGAATTAGTAGGGAGGCTGAATTAACACCCTGGCTTACTCCAGATATATAACACATTGTGCAGATTAAAAGTGTGCATCCTGGACCCAGCTAAATTTCAGCTCAGAGCAAGTAATCACAGCTTCCCCTAATCCAGATATCATCCTCACATTCACTGAGATAGAGGCTGCTTCTCCCTTAAATTACCACAATGTAGTTTTTCTACCCTTTGCTTTGTTTTGGAGAGGAGCCATTCTATTCATGTTCACTTCTCTTTAATGAGGTGCTTAGGAATTAAATGTAGTTCATAAATACAGGGTGATTTATTCCTGTGCTTTACTGGCAAAGAGGCTTAAGCCTGTGTTCTAAAGCAAGCTTTCAGAAGTCCTGTTTTCAAGGATGCTTTGTGAAGTAAGGTAAATGCATCCTATGGTAAGACTAAAATGCATAATGTGGAAGTGTCTTCCTGTAATAACAGAAATAGGGCAATTAATTATAAGGCTAAAATATTTTTTCCTTGTATTGTGAGATAACTGAGACTGCAATTCCTCATTGTAGAAGGACTATTTTATGGTAGATTGACTGCCCGTGAATAATTAGAGGTGTCTGCATGTTTAGGAATAGAGCCTGCTAAGTATACTGTGTTGCTGATTGTCACAGTATGGAAATCAGTGCATTGCTTTCCAGGTAATTGCACATGTCCCAGGCACACCTGTGGCAGCATGGGGCATTTCTGCTGCCTTCAGAGGGATGCAGAACTTGGGAACTGGTCAATACACCCAGTCTTAAAGTGGTACAGGACATTAATAATTTTCCTCCTAGAGGTGAAGTGGTTTACCCTGATTAGCTTAAAAAAATAATTTTAGCAGTGGCTGACACTGTTCATCATTTTTCCATTAAAGGAATGTAAGTGAAGTAGTTAGGCAGTATCAAGCACCAGCTGCCTGACATTCCTGAGAAGACTAAGAACCTTTCCTTTCTAACGTGTTTTCAAAGCACTCCCTTAAATGTGATCACGCAACGCTCCCTCATTAGTGAAGACTTGTACCTGATTAAATGCTCATCAACCTGTGAAAGCATTGCCCAATCAACTCCTTACCTAAAATAATTGTGAACACATGAACCCCAGTAAAAGCCGAAAAGGGAAAACTTTACTTAAAGGCACGTCTGGGCAAAGCATCTCATTAGGACTTTTATCTCCTGTCTTATTAGTGTGTTCTGTGTGGGAAGTATCAGAGGGTGATGTGAAAGGTTTGTGGAGGTGCTGCTGAATTCCAAAGACACCTGGCTGTCAAAGCACAGTCCTGGCGTAAACCTTTGCTTTATTTTACCGATGGTTGGTTGGGGCGAGGAGGATGAGAGGTGGAGGCTCCATGCAGGTGCTGGTGGAGGGGCATATACATCCAGGCTGTATTTAGGGAACTCAGGATGGGTTCTGCATCCTCTGTAGGGTCAGCATGGAAGTTTTTGTAGCCAAATGGCAGGAATTCCCTCTGGAAATCAAATTCCCACATATTTCCAGTGAGATCATGACTCAAGAGGTGAATCTGGTTTCTAGGCAAACCTCAGAGGTTCACATCTTCCAAGGAAGAACATTTACAATACAGATTTGATCCCCTGAGTTTTGAATATGTGATGGTTTCCTTGGCAGTTCTCCTCAGATTAGCAGCTATTCCCTGCATCCTCAGTGTGCCATTGCTGCCATGAACTTCCCCTGGTTCCACACCTATTAATTAGATCTTCAAATGCATAATTTTGGGAACATGAATAATTTAGAAGATGATAAGGAAGTTAATGCAGTGCTCCTGCCTTGCTTAAGACCTTACCAAGTATATACAGTAAGTGACATGGTGACATTTTATCTTTTAAGTGTGTTCTATTGATTGTAAAACCCATTGCTGGTCTTGAAAGAAAAGCAGATAAATGGAAACCACTCTTAAAAACCAAACCTTTATCTCTGGGATTGTTAGACAGTTCATAGTTTTGTGGGTATAATTTTAATCCTAAATATTGGAAAATATTAAAGTAGTTCCAATAGTGTGTGATAGAAGAATGAAGTTTTGCATGTAGACTTTTATAGTAGACACTGTTGTACTGGAAATATTTATTGTTTTGACCTATTTATATCTCAGGATTCTAGTTACTATTTATATATTGATATGTATATAAACACTTATATATGGCTTATAGAAGAATAAGTGTATTTTTGGAAACTTTTTATGTCCTATTCAGTCATTTAGTCATTCTTTGAGCCACTCTGAACTGCAGTTTGATTAGTGCCCATTTCCCCCAAGAGTTTTCTCCCATCGTCTTCTGTTTCCAGCAGCCATTTCTAAGCACTCTAACCCAACTGACAGCTGCATGAGTTATTCACACACCATTAATCTCAGACCACAATAGAAGTTTCAGCAGTGAAATAGTAATTTAGAACAGTAAGTTACATACCGACTAAAGTGAAACACAGCGTTGAAAACATGGAATCTGGCTGCATATAATAAATCTACAGTAATACTTCTCTAAGATGCTTTTAATTAGCAACTGCTCTAAATCCAGCTAGTTATGCTCCTACATCCACTTCACTGTGGGTCTGCAACAGAAGGGATGCAGAGAATGTGAGAGCTGCCAGGTGTGTGCAGGAGAGCCATTCCTGAGCCTCCTGCTAGCAAACCTGCTGCTGGATGAATGCACTCGGTAGGAGCCGTTCTGTTCTGCAGATGAAGTCCATTATTTTAAAAGAATCCACTGCCAAGAGATCCGAAGGAGCCCTTCCCTTGGTTATATAAAAGCAATGTTTCTTCCTTCTTCTTGAGTTTTGTTCGCTGAATTTTGTAAAGTGCCATTTCCACCAGGCCTCAGGAACGCGTTCATAAGGCATCATGCGGGTTTGAGGTATGCACCTTAACAGCATTGCAGCTGTTTTTCAGATGAGAACGAAACAATTCCAGCCTCTAGAAATAGCCTCAGTGCTTCAGCTCTTAGAGCATCCACAGACCTTTGCCATAGCTTTAGCCAAGCAGTATTGATTTTCTGGTAAAGGAAGTCATCTTCTGCAACTAGTTTGGTATGTGACTAAGTGTTTCAGAACTGGGCTGATGAGCATGGAGTGGCTTAGATGGAGCCTTGTTTTGCTTGTTCAAGTGGGGTTCAGTGCTGACAGATGATGGCTGGGTTTATATTTTGGTAGTGTGTGTGAACCAAGTTGGTGATCTCTGTCTGCCCCAGGATCAGTCACTGCCTGTAGAACATGACACAGACAGCGCAGTGCACAATAACCCTTGCAGCCTAGTTTAGTGTGCTAGTAAATTCTCTAGCTCAATTAAAAGTCATGAAAGGCTGACCCCAAGGATGGTATTAATCCTTTATGGTAACCACCTCTTCCCCAGCTTTGGTTATGTGTGTCTTTGGCCACACATTTTTTGTGCAACTGTGCCCCTGCCACTGAGCTTCTGTAGAGATGTATATGGAGATCTCCATCTTCTCATAAGTGGGGATACTATTGCAGTCCAAAGACCACATTTGTATCTTTGAAGACTTTTCAGGTGGAATCACCTGTGTTTCTTCTATCATTTGCTAGTGTCAGTGATGTGTGCCTCTGTTCTTTTATCATTTCATAGGGTGGACAGTGTGGAGATGGATTGCAAGTCCGCAACCTCACGTGTGTAGTGCATGATGCATCTGTTTCTGCTGCATCCAAACCTGTAGAAAATGCATTATGTGGTGAGCTGCCATCGAAGGAAAGTGTGCTGCAGTTACCATGCTCTGTGCCTTGCCCAGGTAAAGTTTTCAGACAGTCACGGTGCATTTCTGCCTCTGATAGCTGTCTGAGGTGGACATGCTCCCGTAGCTCCAAGTACTCAGCTGTTGTAGTTAGAATTTGTGCTTCAGCAGATCAGATAAATGCTCAGTCTGCTGTTTCTAGATCACCTGAGAAACACCTCCTTTGTTTTTTGAGAAAATTAGGTTCCCCATGAAGCTGAAGATCCAAATATTGCATACCACTGGGGATAGAACTGCTATTCTGCCCAGAGAAGAGCAATGAGGCTGGTGAAGGGACTGGAGCACAAGTGCCATGAGGAGAGGCTGAGGGAGCTGGGGGTGTTCAGCCTGGAGAAGAGGAGGCTCAGGGGAGACCTTATCACCCTCTACAACTCCTTGACAGGAAGTTGGAGTCAGGTTGGGGGTTGGTCTCTTCTCCCAGGCAACCAGCAGCAGGACAAGAGGGCACAGACTCAAGCTCTGCCAGGGGAGGGTTAGGTTGGATATTAGGAAGAGATTTTTTATGGAGGGAGTAGTCAGGCATTAGAATGGGCTGGTCAGGGGAGGTGGTGGATTCACCATCCCTGGAGGTTTTCAGGATGAGACTGGATGTGGCACTTAGTGCCATGGTCTAGTAACCACAGTAGGGTTGGACTTGATGATCTTGGAGGTCTTTTCCAACCTGGTTGATTCTATGATTCTATGTTTTCACTGTTAAAGATGTTATATGCTTAGCTTGTCCTCATCCTTTAAGGCTGATTCTTTTTGCAAACCTGTGATTTATTCTTTCAATGTGCAGGTGACTGCCACCTGACAGAGTGGTCAGAGTGGAGCTCTTGTGAGCTCACCTGCATCAATGGCAGGAGCTTCGAGACAACAGGGCGCCAGTCTCGATCCAGGGCACTCATCGTTCAGTCTCCAGAGAACCAGGAGAGCTGCTCTGGACAAGAGATGGAAACACGGCCTTGCTCAGGTAGGTTGGCCACAGTGCTGCTTCCTCACTTTCAAGAGTTTATTCTGGGTTTGTTGTAAGGTGCAGACTAACTGGTATTGGTATTGCAGGAGGGAAGTGTTATGACTACCTGTGGAAAACCAGCCTTTGGCGAGACAACATACGCACAGTGTGGTGTCAGCGCTCAGATGGAATGAATGTCACAGGTAGATCCCCAAATTGCCTCATATGATTATGAATGAAATGTCTCTATCGTTTTTTTCTTCTTCTGCCTGTTGTTCAGAGGGAGTTGGACATCCTTCCTCACACTTCCAGAATTTCAGTTTAGATTTGTGTAGGAAAGGCAGGTGGGAGTTCACCAGCTTTGCTGTCAGATCAACATCACACATGTATCACATGAGAGTGTTTGGGCTGATTGCCTTTACTGTTGGGAAGAAATGAGGGTACCCATACTGAAGAGCTGCCTGGGCTGGCTTGCACAGCTGTCAGTGTAACCTTGCTGTGGCTGTGGAGAGCAGAGGAGAACATCGCACGCACAGTAGAGACCCCCAACTTCTGCACCTCTTCTTTTCAACACACAGGAGTCTCAAATCAAGAGATTCCTGTGTGACCTACAAATTCTGCCTGTGCAGTCTTAAAAGGGAAATTCATGGTCAGAACTTTGAAGCTCTGTTTGGCAAAGACAGCAGAGCTTGTACATCCATGGGATCTTTTTCAATACACAGAGAGTGAATGAGGAGAGAGTAGAAACGAAAATGCAGATGTCCTTATCTAGTTCTATTTATAATGAGTAGTTAAGATAATAACAAAAGTCTTATGTGCAAAGGTTGCCAAGTATTTAAGAACTCATTAACATGTTTTTATTCCTATAGAAGCACAGGCTTCCCCAAGTGAGGATGGGCAAAGGCGTTATGTGGATTATGTCTTCTTATGTAGATAAGACATTAATGAGGACACAGAAGATCTGCAACTAATTCCCGATTCTGTCCCCAACTTCCTATGTGGCCAGTGGCAAATTGCTTAAATCTGTATATCTCTGTTCTCCATTAACAAGATGGGTATGATAATAATTCCCTGCCTTGTTAAGGCAAATTAATTAATGTGATGCCTACAGATATCATGCTAATGTGCTTAATAGACTAGTATTTAACTATATAAAATAAGCAAGCAAGCACTTCCTATACTGTGGTGTTCCAAGTCAAAAACCTTTTAAAACATGCCCTTGAAGGCACTTGGTATTTTCTTTTGCAGGAGGGTGTCCTCTTAGGACAAAACCTGCCGAAGTTCGGCACTGCAGCCCAGAGTGCAAAAAACCATTCTCCTACTGCACACAGGTAATTGCTCTCTGCAGAATATGGTTAGGAAATTAACACTGCACAATCTAATCAATTAATTTCTAGATCTTAAATGCATTCCAGGACCTAGAAAATAGTTTAGTGTGTCCTTGGTACCACCTCGAGGAAGTCGTGGGAATTTCATCCTGAAAGGAAACCATAAACCTGTACAAACTAGGAGTGTTTATGTGGTGTTACAAGTTTGAGTTTGTTCTGTGGAGGTGTTTTAGGATCTTTTGAGTTAATTTCCATTGAATGCTATTGTATTGACCTGGAGGAAATGGACTGTTTAAAACTTCTGTAAAAGAGGAGATAAGAGTGTCAATCAGTTATTTGAATCATAACCAAGAATATCAGACCTTTAAAACTTCTGTAAAAGAGGAGATAAAAGAGTGTCAATCACTTATTTGAATCGTAACCAAGAATATCAGACTGTCAAACAGACATTATAACTATAATTATCAAAGAAAAACAATATAAAAAAACTGCTTTGAAGTAGAAATCTAGAAAATGGAGCATCTATTTAGCAAACCATGCATTTCTAAAAAACCTCTTGAAGAGACTGCTTAGACTGATCCAGGGCAATGGATATTTCACAGAGTCACAGAATATCCTGAGTTGAAAGGGACACAAAAGGATCATTGAGTCCAACTCCTGGCCCTGCACAGGACATCTCCAAGAATCACACCCTGTGCCTGGGAGTATTGTCCAAATGCTTCTTGAGCTCTGTCAGGTTGGGGCTGTGACCGCTGTCCTGGGGAGCAGTTCAGTGCCTGAACACCCTCTGGGTGAAAGAACCTTTTTCTAATATCTAACCTGAACCTCCCCTGACACAACTTCGAGCCATTCCCTCGGGTCCTGTGACTGGTTGCTAGAGAAGAGATCAGTGCCATAAGAAAGCTTCATTTTAGATAGCCCTGTGAAATACTGGAGTGGAAACACGTGAGGAGGGTTTGGGTCTGAAGGGGGATTGCTGCTTTTTTGTCTCTTCTAATGCCCAGCAGGGTCAGTGGGAAGACTTACTGACATGGGGAGTTTGCCCCAGACTGCTTTTTTTGAGCCTGTTGGGATGAAAATGTTTGTATGTTGGGCTTCTCTGTAACTGCTGACTCTTTTTCAACCAATTTCCTAAGTGTATTTGTCTTTTTGAACTGAAATGGGTTTGCAGTCACCAGTTTCTGGCTGGTTTGGTGGTGGTGAAGTTGCATGTGCAGGTTGTACCTTGCAGTTTCTTCATGGTTTCCCTGCATTGTGCACTGTTCTGTGTGAGGTTACTATTTGGTTTAATACTGAATTCCCTTTTATCTCTCAGAGAGGAGTCTGCGGTTGCGAGCGAGGATATACAGAAGTAATGAGATCAAATGGTTTCCTGGATTACTGCGTGAAGGTACCAGGTTTAGAAGATAAGAAAGCTGATGTTAAGACCATTGCTGGAAAAAATAAACCTGTCAACTCAAAAATGCATGACATTTTCAAAGGATGGTCTATTCAACCTTTTAATCCAGGTGAAAACCTTGAATATGAATGGAATAAATTGTCTTTAAAATGTTTCTGTAGAAGAAAGGTACAAACTTTGTAGATCATAACATCAGAGATTGTGTGTGGGAGCTGCAGAGCAGCCTCCCAGTTTCCAACTCACGCGCTGTCTTTCCTGCCTTTGTGCCTATACAGAGGAATCATAATCTCTTATGTGGAGAGATAGCTAAGACAGAATGAAGCAACAATATTTTGCAAAAGTATACTCATATGTGATTTGAGGGGATGCTTAGAACTATTATCTGATGATGTTTCTAGAAGTAATATGTTTGGACTAGGAAAGATATTGATCACTAGCACTTCAGAAGATTCAGAGCAGAAAGTGCTTAAGATTTCATTAAAGAAAACATTGGTTGTTTCTTGCCATTTTTCAAAAATATATGAAAAGAACAGGGTAGAAAGTGTAGAGTTTAGAGTTTTAAGTGTTGAAGTTATGGCATTAAAAACATCCCACAACATCAGGCAGTCTGCTGTGCCCAAGCAGCTCATCCCAGGTGGATCTTTGGCATTCCCAGCTGGAACCATGTACTGGATGTGCTTGGACTAGTGCTGCAGTAATAGCTGATCCCCATTCTGACTGTTGTTTTTCAGGATAAATTAGTTCAAAATAAATCTCTGAAATGCAAATAGGACCTTAAAATGAGAAGCCAATGTGTCAGGCGCATCAGGTTTTATTGAAACACATTTTTCCTCCTCACACTCTAAAACACTGGCAGTGCAGACTTCCCCCTCTTCTGGTACCTGACATTGCACTTGTTTGCAATTAGTTTCTAATGAACACGAGACTTTAGAAAACATGTAACCAGAGGTTCTGTTAGGGGAGTCAGGGAGCCGTAATTCTGTCTGATATATGTGATCACACTTTGAATGTTACATTTCCATACTTGATTTGCATACACTAGTTAACCTTTGCGTTGACAGTCTCTGGGCTCAGAGCTCCATCCAAAGCCTTTTAAAGTTGGCTGGGTTTTGATCAAACCCTTCATCCAGGAGCCCACACAGTTCACCAGCAGTTTGAGTCACAGATTTGGGGTTAATTGCCTTTCTGTCAGCATCCCTGGACCTTTGTAGGCAGTCTTACTTGAGTGTCATCTCTTTGGCTGGTACCTTCATGGGGTTAGGAAAAGGGAGGGAGGTGTAGGTGGATGCTGCAATCCTCTCTTTTTAAATCAGCATTCAAGTCTGCAGCCCTGAAGTCTTCTGGTGGGCTTGACCTCAGTGCAGCATCTGTGAACCAGCTCTCCCCCAGGGACCATAAAACAGAAATAGGGACTAAGGAGCTTTTACAGAACATGGTGTTACTTAATTTTAGGGCAGAAATGTTACAGAAACAATACATGGGAAAGGAATAAAGGTGCTCCATGTGTGCTAAGTGTATCACCAACCCCATGGCATCCTGCAGTTAACTCTTCAGTCTTTATGTGCTCTTCAGACCCCAGCTCAAGGGTGTTGCTCTTCAAATCATTCCCCTTTGTCTAACCTCATGACAAAATATGTAATTACTCCCCTTAAAGAGGCTCTCGGGCTCACTAGTCTGAGGGTTTGCAATAGTTCCTGCTAGCTGAGCCAGGAAACTGCTGTTACCTACCAGTTGTGCTCTTGATAGCAGGTCTGTGGTGAATGTTCCCCTTATGGGTGGCATTTACCCTGCAGCACCACAGTCCTTGACATTTGTGTACATCTGAGGGCTTATATCTGTCAGTGGAAGTATAAGTGCCTTTTTCCAGCTGGTCTGTGACTTCCCATATACAGTTTGGAACACAAATTGTATTATGATTTAATGAGGCTGATGTTTTTGTTCCTTAAATGCTCTGCAGGAGTGTGCAGATCTGATTTCAAATCAGGCTGTGCTTTTCCTCTCTTTACCACACTCTGGGAGGCCAGAGTTCAGGTGCAGAAACTTTTTTTTGAGTTGAAAGGCAATTTAAACAGCATCATTTAAATTGTAAGGTGACATGGTCCAATGCCTTTCTGTTGGGGGTGGAGAGCAGAGCTGCCTTCATTGCAGACATGCTGTGACACCTTTTTGTGGCTGTGACAGTCCCTTTGCAGGACTGTTAAATGTTCCTTGGCCATCTCCAGTTGAGAGGGCAACAAATTTCAAACCTAGACTTCAGGAAAATAAACCAAACCAGGCAACCCAGACCTGACACACAGAGCTCTTCTCCAATGGGAGATAGTCTGTAACTGTTTTGAGGAGCAGAGAAAATCTGTGAGATGTACTCAGCCTTTCCACAAAGCCTGGAAGAAAAATGGGGAAAAATGGGATCTGATTAAATGTGTTTCCCTTTGAAAAAATTCATCATTCAAACATAAAACGTAAACCAGGCTCAGTGATTCTCCCACTCACTTGACTGAGTTTGAAATGACCTCTGCAAACCATGTCTGTGGGCATGGCACACTTCCTCTTCCTGCCCCCAGTGTGTATTATCAGCTCTGTTGATGTGAATCAGCTCAGGCTGCTGCTGCATGGAAAAATACCAAACCTTCTCCCTGCAAGGAAAGTTGTACAGCCAGAACAGAGCAAGAAATGGAGATATTGATCTTTGAAAAATTGTTATTAATAATGCAAAGCTTGTAATTAAGGACCTGTCCAAATAAAGTGCTCTGAGACAAGGGAATGTTTCAACAGACTGAAGCCCACATGTGTGTGGAGGGGTTCCTGCAAGGGTCCTCTGTCACTGCAATCCAAACAGCCCAATCAAGAGTCTTACCTTGTCTTAAAGCCAGTTATGTCTCCTGCTCCCATGGCCCAGCCAGAAAGCTCTTTCACAGCTTTAGCCCTCTTACTATTACAAAGCCTATTCTTGTTTTTATTCTAAGTCGAGTTTATTCCCATTTGTTTCCTAAGGGTTTTCCAGCTCTAAGCAGCTTGTCCCTTTGTGTTTACCCCAGTCAACCCCCAAATATTTACAGAGAACAATCCCATCCCTTCTCAGCCCTCTTTTCTTCAGGCTAAACACATCAGGTGTTACCTACATCTATCTGGGTCAGCTTGACATTGAACTGCCTCTGCCAGAGCAGCCACTGGAACTCCAGAGAGAATGTATCCCAATTATCCCGTGTCCCTGCTCCTTTCTGTGGGCAGGAGCCTGCCTGGGTTGTGTTTCTGTGCTGCACCATGAGTCCAGGCTGCCTGTAATGAGCTATGGGAGCTCAGCCAGAGGAGGGTTAGGAATTAATGCTGCTTTGGATAACTGAGATGAAGAGTTCAGTTTCTGTTTTCATTGAGGAAGATGTATGCTCCTTACCAAAGTAAAAATTTTATCTTTAAAATGATTGATTTTTTACAGAAACCTTCTTTGCTGTCAAAAATATGGATTATTCCCAGCCAGTCCTTGCTGTGTTTCCTGTCAATGACACTAGTAATTTCTCTTTAATTAATCACTTAACATTTTGTGTATGTTAGAAAAAGTTTTTTATTCCCCTCTTTTCTCCCTGTGCCCTTTTTCCTTGTCTTCCAACAGATGGTAAACTGAAGATGTGGGTATATGGAGTATCAGCTGGTGGGTTCTTCATCATAGTTTTCCTCATTTTTACATCCTACCTGATGTGGTGAGTATGGCATGTATTTTGTCCTTAAACAAAAGCTAGTTTGCTTTCATTTAAACAATCCAAAATATATCACAACATTGTGTGGCAGAGATTTAATCCTCGAGGCTTTAGGAAAGGATGGAGCTTGAGTTACCTAAGTGCCTTCATTTGGCCCCTAGCTCAGAGTAATTAAAACTCTCCAGATTGTAACTGTTAACAGACATTATTGTGAATAAGTTTGGTAGCCACACAGGGAAAGAATTCTTTTTGGTTATCAATAGGCCTTTATATTTATTCAGACTTCTTAGGGTTTTTATTGTAATCTTTAAAAAAAGATGAAGTAAAACAGAAGAAAGGCAAGGAGAGTGATTGGATCGAGGAGCTGGCTCCTGCTCAAGGAAGGACAAAATAGAATAGGGGCATTCAGTTGGAAAATGATGTTTGATGTGGGAATACAATAGAGATCTATGAAATCGTGAATGGGGGAGAAAAGGGTGCTAGGGAATTTTTATTTCCCACAATAAAAGAAGTAGGAGGCATCTGATGAAACGATCATTTAAAATAAACAAAAGATATTATTTTTCACACAGTGCATTATTACCTAGCGAGCTTTCTGCTGCTGGGGACTGTGCATGCCAGGAAGATAAATGGATTCAAAGATGGCATAACAGTTCACGGGAGATTGGGTCTCTTGGTGTTAATTGTGGTTTTTCTGGATGTATGCTCCAGCTCAGGAAATCTCTAAATAGGTTTTTGCAGTGATGCATCAGGTGGAAACATGTCCTGTGTCTAAAGCTGCTGTTATCACCTACTGTTTAAGACAGGTTGCCAAGACCTGGTCTATACCAGTGAGTCACTGGTGGTGGGCTTTACTGGGAGGGGTGGGTTGTCTGTTGCTCCATGGGAGGATGGTGGGTATGGCATGACAGAGCTAGTGTGGCACTCTCTAGTTGGAATATTTGGAAAGGCACTGCCCTTGATGCCTCTTGGAGTACAGGAAGGGAGAAGTGGACAGTGTCCATGTGTCCTGCAGTGCCCACAGATTTGACCTGGACTTAGGAACATTAATGGTGTCAGATCAGGGCAGGCAACCAGAGTCACAAACATGGCCTGACAACATCATTTCCCCCTTTTCAGCCAACATTAGTTTGTTTCCTCTCACTCTCTTGATCTTTCAGTCTCTCTCTCTCTTTGGTTAAAAGCTCAAATAAGTGTTTGGACACTGCTTAGGAGTTGCAGCTCCCTTATTTTCCAAGCCATGTAGCTCCATTTCTCTCTGGCTTCACAGTGGAGGATACAGAGGATTTTTTAAATAGCATTACACACTTCTCCATCACTTGAAGGCTGGTGAGGAAATGTATTTCTCAATAATAATTATTGTTGCTTCAATACTGTGCCAAAGAAAAATGAGAATATCCCACTCCTGGACAGCTCCTGTTCCAATTTTTCTGCGAGGTGTTCCTTGTTTTGTCAGCTGTGAGAAGAGACAGGAAACAAATATGCTTTATTTCCTCTGCAGATGAGGAGCACAGTTGGCTGCCTGTTCTCAGCAGGCTGTGTGTCCATACCACACACGTGAGAGCACACAAGCAGGTCCATATGGTTTGTCTTAGGAGTGTCACCCAGTTCCAAAATTAAATAACCAGTGTGAGAAGTTGTTTTTAATTGAAGTTTGGTTTTGATGATGTTTCTGAGCTTATGACAATTTATAATTCTGTCTTCTGAAATACTTGCAGCAAAAAAACGAAGCAGCATCAAAGCCCTCCTCCACAGCAGAAGCCTCTAACCTTGGCCTATGATGGAGACATTGATATGTAACATAAAAAAGAAATCCAAATGTAGACATCAACTGCCTTAACTGCTTTCTTTTTTGGAACTCTCCGACTTCTCAGTTTTTTGAGGAATCTCCTGATGTGTAATATACCGGGCAGAGCAGAACTATTGCAAGCTTAAAAATTTGCCACCTCTTTGTTAAGAAAAATGAAGTCAAAAACTTGCATCTTGTGAAACTTTTTCTGAAGAGACCAGAAAATACATCTCTTCCTGTTGAGCAATGGGAATGAAAAGAAGAGACTCTACAGACATCAAAAGGAATAAGTTTTTAACAAAAAAAAGGCATGACAATCCCGAGGAAAATGTGACATTTACTGTAAATGACAAGTTTGACACAGCATCATTATGCACTATATTAGTGCAGGGTTCTTTATTCTTCACATACTTCAACAATGAGTTTTCTAGTGTTTACATTTCGTTCAAAGACTTCAAAACCGGATCATGTATTTTGAGAAATGCAAGGAAGAATGAGTTGAAGTGTCTGAAATTATCAGGTTTTTTAAAGTTTCTTCCTTCTTATCCTGTTTTCTAGTCTGGAATATGATTTTGCTTCATTTCCACCTACAGGACAGAATAAGGATTGTTATGAAAAAGCATAGGTGGTTTCTTAACCAAGAATATTTTTTAAAGAGTTGAGTAGATAGGTGTTTTGATGAATGGCTAGAGGATTTGATTGTTTAAAAAGTATTTTAAATTAAATTAAACCATGTAGATACATTATGGCCAGTTTAAATTGTTATTCAGTTTAATTAATACAAACTCTGCTTTTATATTTAAATTTTCTTATCTGAAATATTTATAAATTCCTTTTTTTGAATTTAATTACCTGACCTCATTTAATATACATCAAACACAGATGCAGTTTGTAGAAGGTCTTGCTTTTTTAAATGTTTCAGAACCACTGAGAAGTTACATGTAGTGAAATTCTGGGAACATTTGAAGAGGGTAAGTGTTTATAATAGTGTGTGTTGCAAGTAAGAAAGTGCCATCTTGTGGTATTGACTTGTATTTATAAGCAAATAAAATGCTAAAGAGAGTGAGAAAATTGCTTCTGGTATGTTGAATTAAATGTGTGTAAACAACTTGCCTTATTAGTCGTTTGCTGTGTCTGAGATTGGACTTGGATTTCAAACCTTTGCTGGCATATTTCGTGCTGTAGTGATTAGTGATAGAAAGGCTGTAGGCAAGTAAAAGCTGAGAGAATGATTGCAGATCTGGAGAGTGATTGGTCTTATTTTTAGCTCAATGATGTTATTTATTCTAATTATCAGAAGCGAGAAAAGGAATTGTTACCAGCTCAGCAGCTATGTGGTCCTTCCCAATCCACACTTACCTGGATCATCACAAGAGATGGGTGTAACTGGGGCAGGAGGCATTGCTCAGCTTGTCATGTTGCTATTCACATCTTTGTAAAGTGATTTGAATATTATGGTTTTATTGCAAAAATGATGGAGTTGTTTCCTTCCCCAGGTCAGGATCCCACCCATCCAGCACTGCTTCTGCAAGCATCAAATTGAGATGATATTGTGTCACTAAAGCAGGGT